TCTCAGGTAAAAATTTGTTAATGTCATTTTTTCATAGCCTAATGTTATGCCTTAGACAGAAAGGGTAAAAATTGGAAAAGTAAAAATAAATCGCAATGTATTAAAAATATGCTAAATAAATCTTGTAGGTTTTCTTTTTCAGAAAAAAATAATAATATGTATGGCTATTTTTAAAACTCGGTAGCACACAGTTCAAATTCCGTTGTTGATGTTATCATTTTTTTTCTACATGTTTCAAAACCCTTATGTATTGAATTCTATCATTCTGGCTTGAGCACTTTTGGAGATATTTAAGCGTTTCTGTACTTTTCATTGCCATTAGAACAAAGTAAATAGGACATTCCTGTATATCTTTTACACCATCTTCGAATAGCGCTAATGTTAAATATGTCTGATTTTGCTTTATAAATAATGGCGTCTATTGCTTTGCAAGTGTGAAGACTAGTATTTTTTTTAGAAAAATTTAAATATTGGAAAAACTATTAGGTTTAGGTATATATTATTATTAACAAAAAAGTTGAAAAATTTTAACAGGAATTCAAAACAAAATTCAAAAATAGAATGTTCCATTAAAAACATATGTTTTTGTCACACTTTTTTAAGACGCCCTGCATACTTTAAAAAATAATTTAAAATTGTGCATTCTAACATCCTGTACAGCTTACAACTTTTGTATTTACTATATTCTTATAACTTCTGAAGTTAATGTGGTTTGTCTTCACATTCCCCATTTGTATATACATATATAAATTAAGGATATTTCTGGAATAACTTTTTATTTGTGGTAAAAATATTAAAACAGTTATATTCCCATGATAGTTGCAATATTATGCCTGTCTCACAACGTTTGCAATATTCGCGCCTTTAAGTTCTCATGAGCACGTCGAATAAAACTGTTTTTAAAAACGAAATTTTCAATTTCGGAATCAAAACTTTCGCAGTCGTCGTCTCAACGGTTTGTGGTATATAATCGAACGTACAAGTGAAGGCAAGTGCATCTAATTGGCTAGGGAACAGGAACATTGTTTGGAGTTCTATTAGCGCGAAGAACACTAACAAGCATCCCCCAGGACTTCATTGGTAGTTTTCAGAGACAACATCGCTTGTCCTATTGGGCCTAATGAAGATAGCAACAACAATACTGTAAGTGCCAAATTTCCTTTCCATTTTCCACAGATTGTCATATTGTGTGCTCCCCGAAGAAATTATTAAGCGGGTAGATTTTTGAAAGAAACTTCCACAGGCTGCTGTAATACTTTTTATAAAACTTCTGGATTCCTCCAGAAGTTTTTTAAAAAGTAAGCGGGTAGAACTAGAAAACACAGAAGTTAAAGAATATCATCAAATCTTTATCAATCAATTTATAGCGTTTTGGATAAAATCGAAGTAGTGGCAACATTTTTGAAAATTCATAATACAATACTCGATCCAAATAAACTCTTGCAAAAAATAGCTAAACACCCATTTAAATTCCAATTAGTGGTAATTCCCAAAATATTTTAATATTTATTTTAGAACTTCCATTGGATCAGACAGAGGCATATCACTATTAAAATCTGCTTCCATTGCCATTTCCCAATAATAATCGCTCCTTCCTAATCAATATACCTTATAAACCTTATTTGGCTCTAAACGAAACAAAATATGCATTACAAGAAGAGAAATGCTTTGAAATGCAGCTGAATCAACGTGATCAACTTGTCAAGATCTGGAAGACCATATTCCGCTATCGGGTTCGTACCTGCTAGAAGTGCCCTTACGATGCAAACTCCACGATCTTCGAAACCTACAAGCCGATAAACCGATCGTTTCAGCAAGTTAATTTGCTTTATTAACATGGACCAAGATTAATGAACATCAACCAATATTCAAGCCACCTGCGACTGATCTAAAGGCTGTCAACCTCAATACCATGGACGAAATCCACTCCAGACTGAAGAACCAGATGGAAGACCTTCAAGTGATATCTTCAGTTGTCTACGTTAATAGAACAAGCCTATGGACTATTTTAATGTATCTATCAATTCTTGTTTTATTACTTAACGTATTTTATAAAGATTAGGAAACCAGTTAATATTGAAGATAATAATCAAACTGATGATAATATCGATTTTTAAGGATGTGCTTTGATACAGCGCGGGAGGAGTTTTATTCCCATTTTATTCCCACAACGTTTGCAAGATTCGCGCTTTTAAGTTCTCATGCATCATCAGCACGTAAGACATAAATATATATCGATTCCCATTTTAAAAACAGATGTATATTAGTTCACTTGTCAATAAAATTGTCTAAAAAAAAAAATTAGACACAAAAACTTTAAAGTTTCAAATTATTTTTATGAAGTTATTAATAAAAAATGTTATAAAAATTTTTTGCTGCTACAAATTATGATAAAAAAATAGTTTTTTCTAGAGTTTATTTTCCGCAAAAATTGTTGTTATTGTATAAGCGTATAATGGTTACCATTTTTTCTCCGCCTTAAGTTATGATTATGGTAGGATTGCCTGGTCTAAGTCTATAAATTCAGTTTGCGTTTTTTTTACACGACCCTATTTTGCCTTACCGTAAAAACGAATAAACTCGCCGCCCCTTTCAGTTTTGCCCTTAAATAATAAAAATAAATCGTTTTCAAAATCTTCCCGTAACCTGGTAATAAAAGACCGTCATTTTTCTTCTATTTATCTGCTCCCCCCTCACACCCCCAAGCTTTATGGCCGGATTATGCTTCGATTTATGCTTGCATTGGCGTCAAAAGTAGATGAGATGTTTCGGGGTGGGGGTCAACCGCGTCGCTTGCACTTTGCGCAAAGAAGCTTCTAAGTTGTTTTTTTTTTTTGGGATTATCTGAAAAATTAGGCTATAAATATTTTAATACATAATATGAGACTTAAAAATAATTTTTTTAATCCCCTTATCTTAATACTTTGTTAGGTTGGGTAAAAATAGAAATATCTATGTTGTCAGATATTCCCAAAAATAAATTATTTAAATAAAGCTTCAGTTTTTAGAAAAATACGCACAAGTCGATATGAAAGTGAAACAATCCTTTGCAGGATTTAGTTTCTTAAAAATAAAGGAAAATAAAATTTTTCTTGGCAATTATTAATTTCATAGCAATGAATTTAAAATATCAACATAGTAAGCTTATTTAATTTATTTTTTTATAACAATAAAATTAGCTCGAAAAGTCTCATAAAATTGTGACAGCTTTGTAATTTTAGAATTCAATAAAATTTTATAGATAGATAGATCAAATCAAGTTGTCCGATTCGCAATAGATTAAAATTAAAGGTGGAAATTTTCAACACCTAGTAATTTGAAATTTGATTTCCGGTTTGGTTATGATTTTTCAGATCACTTAGAACAAACAAAACATATAAAACGAGTAGAAGAAGCTTTTAAAACAATTAAATAAAAAACAGAAAAGAACGATTGACTTCAATTTAAATAGGCGAAAAAGTGATAAAATAATAACGTATAGAAAAATTTTCTTTGTGTGACTCTAACAAAATTAAATTTAAACTCCCTGATAAAACAATTTGCAATTTTGCGTCACTTGGAAATAAACTGTTTTAATCGTAATCGTTTGGACCTGCTTTATCTTTGGCACGTCTTAATTAATTCCTCCGGGTCTGATATAAAGTGAAAATGTCCGTAAAATGGGCCCGACCCTCTTGGGAAAAATCCGTTTTTCGAAATAGAGAAGCCGAAACCGGATTTGACAGCGTCCCTAATTGTGTTTTACTAATTCCGAATAGGTGAAATAAAACTTAAAACTTTAGGAAATTTGTAACCTTGTCCAGTTTAATAACGTTTGTTTAGCGAGAAAATAAATCTTTTTAGAAAATTTAATAACACTTGCAGCGGAACTAGAGCTTTAACGCTTTTCCTCTTCTCGGTTTGGAATTTTTGTTTTATGCGGTGAAAGAAACACTCAAATAAAAAGATATAGTGCAATCAAATAGCAGGGAACTTTCTCCTCCAACAAAATTGAGCAACATAACTCTTTACAGTGTTTTCTTTGATCTGCTAATATAAATAAATTCGTGGTTATTCCGTAATACCAATATCTTGAAAGATATCGAAATAAATTTGTTTCTATAGAATAATGTCATAATTTCTTAGAGTAGTTTGTCTCATGAGTTATAAATTTATTTAATTTATTGGATTACATAAATTTCTTTAAATATTTCGAAATAGAATATAATCTACCCCATAATTCTTGAGAATGCTACAGCTTATGATTCTTCTAGAATAAATTTGTTTTTTGTAAATATCTTTAAATATTGAAAAATCGAAATAAGTCGATACTAAGAATATCTTTTATAAAATCAATAATATATTTTTTTCCATAGAATAACGTCAAAACTATCTGCGATGTTATGTTTCTTCCACATCGTTAAAGATATCGGAATAAATTAGTTTCCTTAGAATAACTTAATAATTTTTTAGAGTGCTTTGATGTTCTAATCTGTTATCTGATTAAACGAATATAGTTAGAGATATCGAAATAAATTAGTTTCGTTAGAAAAGGTCTAAGGACATATTAAGAGACTCTTTTACAAATATTTTTTTCTGAAAAGCCATAATTACAATGGCAAGTTTCTGATACTTGTTTGAGTACAAAACATGGTAGTTTATTCCATGTTTGACATTAGTTAGTTCGTTTTACGTAATTTTAAAAATGTTAAAGAATTTGCTTAAAATCTTTAAATTAGTCTTTTATTCAAAATTTATTACTAGCATTCATTTATTTTGTAATTAGTATTATTGGAGTAATTCTTTTTCTTGTATTAAGTAATGGTAACAGTAAGTGTTTCGCACTCCAGGAGCAACTATTGTGATTAAATTATATTTTTTGATTAAAAATTGCAAAATGTCTATGCGTATTTTTTTTACATTTAAATAATATGCAATTGCAGCTTATCAAACGTCTTATTCCTAGAGCAGTTTAGAATCCCGTATATGGCTACATAAATTAAAAGGTTTCTATTTTTCAGGGGCGCAAAATAACCCTATGGGCCCCATTGTCGTTCACGAAGGGGAAAACGTACGTCTACACTGTTCAGCTACTGGTATACCTGCGCCCCACATAACGTGGCAGAGATTCGACAACAGACCGATTAATAGAGGCGCTTGGCAAGGTAATAAAAACATTAAAGCTAAAGCAATTTCGACTCAGCAAAAACCGACGCAGGAGGAATCCAGAAGTTTTGTAAAATGTCTTACAGTAGCCTGCGGAAGTTTCTTTGAAAAATTGAAGCTTTATTGTGAGATTTTATGCTGTGGTATTTTACTGGGAGACGAAATTTCTAACAATAAAGCTCGCTGGTTAAGTGATGAACGTGTATACTGTTCGCATCGATCTAGCACGGGAGCAAAGCTTTCGTCATAAAACGTGTTTACAAGAACCAATTAAGAAGGGATATTAAGTAGTTCCCTAATTTTGACTGTAAAATATGGCGTTTAGTAAATTGAGCGCTCTAGGGGGTGATTCAACTTAGTCTTCCAGTACGCCATGTTTGTATTCAATATTTTATATTAGTTCTTTGCAACTACACATAGGAGATAATAATGATTACTCAAAACAGGATTTGTTTTGGTCCTATAATAAGTATTGGTAGCCATTAATTGTCATTTCTCGAAATGACAGTTTTAGCTATATGGAACAATCAGCAAAGATTATGTTAATCTAGATTCTAATGTGATTGAATTTATGTTGATTAAGGCTTAATCCACATCGAACATATTAAATCTGCCCTGAGATTCGCTAAGGATTTAGGTTTATATTTTCCGTTTTAAGGCGCCAGGTTCGATTTACTTAGAGGTTATTTTTATAATTAACGCTGTCCAACTGTGTCCAATCTATTGCTAAATTGTATGAAATTACATCAAGATTAAAAATGGAACAAATGTAGTGCAGTTCATTTATGGGTTATAGTTTGAGTGTATATTTGATTAAATGAATTTGTGTTGTTTGCTAATTCTTTTTCTAACTATTGTTATTTTTTTTTATTTCTTATTTTTATGTAAATGCATAACTGTAAAATTGATCTTTATAATTTAGATGGTTTGCACTGGTTTCAATAATCCATCGCGTAGCTAACAGCCAGTTTTATTGTAAATTATCTTAAACTGTAATGTTAAAGTTTAGCTTCATTTAAGAGTAACCCACGAAAACGGTCCTTAAAGTCCAATGGTAAAATGAACACTGCGCAAAAAACCAATCTGATATAAATCTAATCTTGCTTTTTATCCGGATTAAACCCTAAGTACAAACATACTTATTGGCTGGCTTCACTAATAACCAGGAATCGTGTTCTTACATCATTTCCTATTTGGTGTTGAAAAATATGACCCAATTATGTATGTCATCGTGTGATGTGGATGCATTTGCATACATTTTCCAATATGTCTAAAACTTAATATTTTGCAACAAGTTAACAATATCGTCTGTTTAACTTGATTCACTTATTATAAAAAAAGTGGTTCAGATTTCATGATAGCTTTCAAAGGAACATTTGATTTCTTCGAGCATTGGTTAAACTTGGAATTGGTTTTCTATTCCATTTTAACTTTAGTGGAAGAATAAACATCGAATCGTTCAACTCTCTGATCAGTAAATACTTTAGAAAATAGTCGAGGAGAAAATCCAGTCGGAACTGACAACAAAGCTTTTAATAACTTTAATCCTGCCTTGCAAGCTTAAAAGGAAAATATTTGAATTTATTGAATTATTTATTATTGATTATAGAGTATAAATTGATGCATTATTTCGGATGTTGTCTTAATAAGTTTCCACCTGCTGATAAATTTAATCAATTTAAAGACACGACTTTTAAATGGTGTTAATTTATATTTTATTGTTGCAACATTGGATCCTGATTTGATCTGAGTTTACATGACAAAAGCCAACAAAATCAAATAGTCTTATCGAAACTTTGGAGTGCATTTTTGACAATTTTGTGAAGTTTATGGCTTCTTTGGTATTTACAGTACCATGACATTATCCTGATTATATATATATATATATATATATATATATATATATATATATATATATATATATATATATATATATATATATATATATATATATATATATATATATATATATATATATATATATATATATATATATATATATATATATATATATATATATATATATATATATATATATATATACATTTTATTTTTTGTGACGTTTCGGCCTTCAAGATCTTCTTCAGACATTTAATTTTAACCTACAAAAATGTGTTTTTAAATAAAATTATTTATAGCATTGTTTTCCTGGTCATAATTAAAACATAGATAAAAATTTGTATAGGAGTCAGCATTGAAATGATTAAAAATTACTAGTGCAAGTCAATAGAACAAACAAAGTGATTAAAAATTATATAAAAATAGATGCACAACAATAAAACATACATAATTTTTTAGATTACGATTACATACATACCTTAAGCCAAAAATCAACGGTTCACTATATAGTTGTTTGGTAATTTACAGTTTTACAACATTCACAACAGACATATTGAATATGTAAATCGACAAGCCATTGATAAGACGACGAACCAAAACAATAATGCGAAGCCCGGATGTACGTTTCTTCACAGTAGGACAACGGAGTTTTTTTTTTTTTTCTAAAGCTTTTTTTTTTGTGTGAGATTCACGGGTTTATGTGTCTCTTTATTTAATTAAGTTGTGATAAATTTTGCTGAGATTTTTTGTGTCAGTCTTAGAGTTTATGGCGTTTGGATTTTTTTGGATCTCAATCATTTCATAAAATTCCCGTCTTTTTGTGTGCCTTTCTGAGCGTAAAATTTTCACACTTTGAAAGTCAAACGAGTGCTGATTCTCCCTGGAAAGGCTCGAAAGAGCAGTGTTATTTTTTTTGTCATATTTATGGCCGTTTAAGCGACTTTTTAAGTATTGACTAGTTTGTCCGATGTAGACACCGTTACAATTTTGGCACGGTATTTGGTACACCACGTGGCTTTTTTTCTCGTCAGGGATTTTTGATTTTAATTTACTAAAGTTTTGTTCTAATAGGTTATAACCTTTGTGTGCCACAGTAATGTCGTGTTGTTTGAACACATTGCACAAATTTTCCGATAGCCCTGGAACGTACGGTAATGGGATATATTGTTTTTGAGTATTTTTCTTCTCGGATTTGTTACCAGCATTTTGATTGTAAAATTTATGTATCCGTTTATTGAAAATTTTATTTATTAATACATCCGGATAACAGTTTAATTTTAGGGCTTGTTTTGCTTTTTTAATAGCTTGCTGTTTGTTCTCAGGATCGGACAATTTAATAGCTCGGTCGGCTAAACCTATTATTACGGATTTTTTTTGGGTGATGGGATGTTGGGAGTTGAAACTTACATACCTATATGACCAAGTATCTTTGGTGTACCATTTGGTTTTGATCTGGTTTTTGCTGTGGTATAGAGTCAGGTCTAAAAAGTTAATGCCGTTATTTTTTTCGATCTCTATTAAAAATTGAAGTTTGTCGTTGTATGAATTAAAATTCTCTAGAATATCATCGATTTCAGTTTTTGGGACAGCACTTACGCAGTCATCGACATAACGATAAAATAGGGGGATATGAAGATTTATATTTTTTAGTACGGAGCTAAACACGCAGACAAACGGTGTTGATTCCTCCAAATGGATCGAAAACCTTACAGATATTGAAATCCCCGACTACGTGAATGACATATTAGCCCTAGGGCCAAACTTTGCAGTCCCAGTAGAAAAACCTGCAAAAATACCCATCACCGATATTATTTGTAACATTGCAGTCCCAGTAGAAAAACCTGCAAAAATACCCATCACCGATATTATTTGTAACATTGAAACTGTATTACACAACACTGTCTCTAGCGGAAGGGATGAAATAAGGGCCAAGTCCTGCAACATAATTACAAACTTTATTAAACAAAAAAGTAACCAAACAAACAAAAAAATCTTTACTAGCAAATTGAAAAAGACAAAAGCTTTCCTAAAGAGAAACAAAACTATAAAAATATTAAGACTAGATAAATCAAACAAAACCGTAATTATGCACGAAAAGGACTACAACACAAAAATGTATGGCCTTCTAAACGATGACAAAACATATAAACAAATAAATAATGATCCTACAAACATTTTCCAAAAAAGAAATAACGATCTGGTATCAAAATGGGAAAAAGAACTTTTTATTTCACCGAATGTAGCCAAAAATCTTAAAATACAGAATGCACTACCTCCTAGAATCTATGGATTGCCTAAACTACATAAACCTGGCGAACCTCTAAGACCCATAGTGTCATGCATTCAATCCCCTTGTGAAAAATTATCAAAGTTCCTTAAAAATATACTACAAAACGTTATAAATCAAAATCAATATTACATCAAAAACTCTTTCGATTTTAAAGAAAAGATAAAAAATGTCAGAATACCTGAAAACTGTTTTGATTTCGTTAGATGTCATTTCTCTATACACAAATATTCCCATCCCTTTAGCTAAAGATATAATAAAGAAAAAATGGCCAAAAATTAAACATTTCACAGATATTCCGTTAAATCACTTTCTTGAAGCTGTAGAATTAACATTAACATCAACCTATTTCTTATTCAATGACAAATATTACAGGCAGGTCGATGGTTGTGCAATGGGAGCATCGATTTCCAGTGTTATTGCACAGTTAGTAATGGAAGATTTGGAAGAATCCGTACTAAAAAATATAAATCTTCATATCCCCCTATTTTATCGTTATGTCGATGACTGCGTAAGTGCTGTCCCAAAAACTGAAATCGATGATATTCTAGAGAATTTTAATTCATACAACGACAAACTTCAATTTTTAATAGAGATCGAAAAAAATAACGTCATTAACTTTTTAGACCTGACTCTATACCACAGCAAAGACCAGATCAAAACCAAATGGTACACCAAAGATACTTGGTCATCTAGGTATGTAAGTTTCAACTCCCAACATCCCATCACCCAAAAAAAATCCGTAATAATAGGTTTAGCCGACCGAGCTATTAAACTGTCCGATCCTGAGTACAGACAGCAAGCTATTAAAAAAGCAAAACAAGCCCTAAAATTAAACTGTTATCCGGATGTATTAATAAATATAATTTTCAATAAACGGATACATAAATTTTACAATCAAAATGATGGTAACAATCCGAGAAGAAAAATACTCAAAAACAATATCTCCCATTACCGTACGTTCCAGGGCTATCGGAAAATTTGTGCAATGTGTTCAAACAACACGACATTACTGTGGCACACAAAGGTTATAACCTATTAGAACAAAACCTTAGTAAATTAAAATCAAAAATCCCTGACGAGAAAAAAAGCCACGTGGTGTACCAAATACCGTGCCAAAATTGTAACGGTGTCTACATCGGACAAACTAGTCAATACTTAAAAAGTCGCTTAAACGGCCATAAATATGACAAAAAAAATAACACTGCTCTTTCGAGCCATTCCAGGGAGAATCAGCACTCGTTTGACTTTCAAAGTGTGAAAATTTTACGCTCAGAAAGGCACACAAAAAGACGGGAATTTTATGAAATGATTGAGATCCAAAAAAATCCAAATGCCATAAACTCTAAGACTGACACAAAAAATTTCAGCAAAATTTATCACAACTTAATTAAATAAAGAGACACATAAACCCATGAATCTCACACAAAAAAAAAAGCTTTAGAAAAAAAAAAAAACTCCGTTGTCCTACTGTGAAGAAACGTACATCCGGGCTTCGCATTATTGTTTTGGTTCGTCGTCTTATCAATGTGGCTTGTCGATTTACATATTCAATATGTCTGTTGTGAATGTTGTAAAACTGTAAATTACCAAACAACTATATAGTGAACCGTTGAGTTTTGGCTTAAGGTATGTATGTAATCGTAATATAAAAAATTATGTATGTTTTATTGTTGTGCATCTATTTTTATATAATTTTTTATCACTTTGTTTGTTCTATTGACTTGCCCTAGTAATTTTTAATCATTTCAATGCTGACTCCTATACAAATTTTTATCTATGTTTTAATTATGACCAGGAAAACAATGCTATAAATAATTTTATTTAAAAACACATTTTTGTAGGTTAAAATTAAATGTCTGAAGAAGGTCTTGAAGGCCGAAACGTCACAAAAAATAAAATGTTTCACAAGTAACGGAAACTTATTTTAATTTCACTAAAAAAGGACCAACAAAAACCCAGGAACCATTTCTTAAGAATATATATATATATATATATATATATATATATATATATATATATATATATATATATATATATATATATATATATATATATATATATATATATATATATATATATATATATATATATATATATATATAGAAACAAACTGTTAATTCTTGGGATCACCCCAACTTTGATGGATCGCCCTAAAGGGAGCAATAAAAGATGTTGAAGCTGAAAGCAAAGTGGCAATTTATTGTAATATCTAGTTTCGCCCATGGATACAGGCTTCATCAGGACACTAAGTCATATAGAGAACAAAAAACATTTCACCAGAGTTAACAATCTAACCAAAAAAAAAAGTAAAAAAACTTACACAACACGCCTCTTTCAACCTCTAAATATAGAGAGATGACATTGGTGTATAAAATAAAGTGTTTGGCCTGTTACAATTATCGACATAACACTCGATGGATGAAAAATGAAAAAAATATATATTAACCTCGACCATAACGTTACAAAACAATCACACTAACACAAAACGTTAAGGTCAATAAAAAATTTATCTGGTTATACATATATTTTTAATGTTCGAAAAAGCTAAATTATGAGATCGATCACTGCAAAGTTTTTTGCCCACATTTATAGAAAATTTATCGCAGAAAGTTAGAACGAAAGTGATAATGGATTTATCTTGAAAACTTTGTTCTCCTGTTATTAAGGACTGTATAAAAACGGTACGGTCTAAAACATAATAACAATATTAATTAAACGTTCATTAACCGCTTATCGATGTTACTATATAAACACTACTACAGTGACGCCATCTTACAGCGGCTAAATGGCCATAAAAGTCAAAAATTATTGAATTAATCACAAACATTATTACTATTACTAGATATACGCTGCTTGCGCATATTTAGTCACTTTATAATTCTAAGTTTTGTTTAATGTATGTTCCCTACGACGGATTTCAAATATAAGACGCAAGAAGTTTTTGAAGGTGTTGTGTATCAAAAGCATCCAAACAAGAACAATAAAAATTGTAACTCCAAATTAAAAGCAGACAAAACTAGAAATTCGCACAGCATCTTCTTAGTATTGCTATTTAAATAGTATCTCTGTGCAAATATTAATTTTATAGCAAAGTATCTGACTTTAAGTATTGAAGTTGTATGTTTTTTAAGTGGAAATTTGTGGTCAATTATAAGACCTGCATTTTTGACTTAAAGAAAATTTTGAAAACATGTGGAATATGAAACTAATGTTGTGCATAGCACCAAAAGATATGATATTAATATAGATTGCTTGAAATCTCTGATACCAGGCTTAAGAATGACAGAAAATCTTACACTTTATTACTCTTAAGTCACTAATATTTATTATGAGCTATAATTTCATACAAATTGAATGGTTTGTTTGTATTGTTCTTTCTTTTTCTCTTTCATTTATGGCTTATGGATTGAGTGTATATTTGATACATTTTTTTTACTAAAACAGTTTTTGTGGTTTTTCTTTTTATTTAATTGTGTCCTATTGAGCAACCAAGAATTATTGTTTTATTGTTTCAAAACATAGCGAATATTGCCGATGTCTGCTTCCCATAAGGCCAATACGGTTTCGCAGGAATTTAATGGAAAACACCATTACTTGCAGATGTTCAGGTTTTCGGTCCTACGCTGAATATTACCCGAGTCAATAGGGATCATATGGGAGCGTACTTGTGCATAGCGGACAATGGGGTTCCGCCTCAAGCGAATCAAACGTTTAATCTGGAAGTTTATTGTAAGTTTAATTAGTTTTAAATAAACTTTGCTTATCGTGCGACTAACCTACAATTAAATCAATCAACGAAGGTTTAATTTCCAATTGCTTCATATAATTATTTGTAAACACGTAATAATAAACTTAAATTCTCTACTAATTTCAAGATAATGAATAAGTAAGTATTAATTGTGTTTTCGAATTATTTGGCATTCAGTAACTTAGTTATTAGGGTTATAGTGAATGAATCATATCTGAAAATCATACTTAATAACTTTTCAATTAGCCTTCGAACAAAGTTAAATTAGTTTTTAAATGCTAGAAAGACTTTTCTCCCGAAGTTCCGGCAACAATAATGAGAAAATCTAATCTAATATTATTGTTATTTTTGATCCCTTTTCGCTAATACGGGAATGCAGAAAAGAGGCTTGGAAACAACGAAATGTTTATTTATTCAGAATATTTTAGAGGGTGTTCCAAAACAAATAATAAAAACTTAAAGGGTTGGTTCTTTTTTTGAAATAAAGGGTAGTACATAAAATTATATTTATTTTCTATCCCAGGTTTTATTGAAAAACTTTTATGTCTTGTAATACTTACCATTTCCAAATTTTTAAAAAATCTAAAGCAACGCAAAACGCAAAATTTATTATCTAAGCATGTAATTAATTTAAAAATTGTATTTTTGTTTTGACTTGTCTTGCTTATTTGCATTGTTTAAATAAAATGTTTTCAAATAAGTTATTTATTATGGTTTACGCATGAATAGATCAATTATTTTCATGCATGTTTATTAATATATTATTTTTAAAATGTTATTCTTTAGAAGATAATTAATAAATGTTGGTTCAAAACTAAATTGTTTTATTGCGGTAAGTTTTTTTTCTTAATTTTCAAAATGTGCGTTTTTATAACAGCAATACTTGCATTATATTCTATTGTTCTATTATTTTCCTTCTTAAGTTAAAAAATAAAAACATTATTTTTCCGCCATATTTGTAGCGCGATATCTCCCTAATTGATATAAGTTTTATATAACAAACTTCCCTTTATTTAGGAATCATCTCCTTAAATTTTGCGAATTTGCAACACCCTGTATAAATTATATACTTTTATACTTCCTATTAGTAAAAATTATTCCATTACGAAAATTCGAGTGTATGGTGAATTACCACCTCGACTTTGGCATGGCTAAAGTATTTTTTAATATTCTATACAAGATGAGTCAACTATTCGTAAATAATCCCAAATTAAAGACAACTGAAATGGACACCCTTGTGAAACTGGGATAAGTTCCATTTTTTAATAATTGTCACTAACTTGATAATATCATAAAAAGAAGTAAAAACTGGGAATATTTTCATTACATCTTCCATTATTGTATACTAATTTTCGTCCTTTAAGCAATTTATATATATATATATATATATATATATATATATATATATATATATATATATATATATATATATATATATATATATATATATATATATATATATATATATATATATATATATATATATATATATATATATATATATATATATATATATATATATATATATATATACTCAGTAAAATATCTAAGTGTGCTTTGGAAAACAAGAAGTCGAAAAGTGTTAGTAGCATAATAATAATAATAGTACTTTTAGGATATGGATAATGAAATGAATCCAAAAAGTAAATGTTTAGATTGCAGCAAAGATTACATTAAACTATATTCAAAAATAATTATCCTCCTCAATTTTATGGCAAGTTACAAGTTACAGTTATAAGTTACACAACTGTTTGATTATTAATTAAATTAATTAAATATTAAATTAAGCCCAATTTAATTTGGTTTGCTAAAATTAATATTTAGTATACATTATTTCCTTGAATATAATTTTTAAAAGAACTTTTTTCCGACACACGCAAGCAACTGCAGTTGACGTCTACGGACAACCTGTATATTACTTTTGTGTCGATATTACTTTAAGATAAAATGAAAAAGTGAATCCTGATCGCTGTTCCTATCATTTTCTTTTTTTAGTTCCTCCTTTAGTTCGCATACCGAATCAGATGGTGGGCGTGGTAAATGGTTCAACAGCTGTGCTCGAGTGCGAAACTGAAGCTTTCCCGGAACCGATACGGTAAGTTTTTCATATCGCTTATCTTAAGATAAATCGACACGAAATCGTATGCTTTTCAAGTGATTTGAAGTAAGTGTACTTGAACTTCAATAAACATACAAAGGTCTTCTTTCAGTATTCACTGAACGCGCACTTACATTAGCCGTATTAGACGATAAATTATTGCCCCTCCATCGTCTTGAAGTGTGTAATTTACCACCGTAGTAGATCGATGTTATTCATTTCTAAATAAGTAAGATAAGCCCGGACGGTTACAAATCAAATTTGGATTCGTATTCCGTTATTTTTCTTCTACCTAATCGCGGTTTTACAATTAATTGAAATCTTTAGCGGGAAAATATTCAGCTACTTCGTAGTTTAAATCAAAGAGTATAAGGTAGAGGGGAAGGTCGCATATATTGTTACGAATGCCATCTATTATTTGTGTCCAAGTACTAAAGTACTGTCATGGCGGTTTAAAGTAATGCGTCTCACTGCGTCACAATACTTGTAAAGGATAACAGCACTTTATTTATATTTTATTTAAAAAAAAATTAAAACCATTTCGACATTTTTTTTCACATTTTACCTTTCAAACTTTAAATTGAATTGAACCGTACGTCTCGCGCATATATATATATATATATATATATATATATATATATATATATATATATATATATATATATATATATATATATATATATATATATATATATATTGTTATTATATGTCCAAATTACTCCAAATACCTTATTTTAATACTGCCGATTGTTTTTTGTGTGCCTTTAAGCTTTTCGTAACAGTGTAATTTACTAGGGTAGTAGGTCGATGTTGTTTATTTCTAAATACGTGAGATAAGTCCAGTTACAAAGCAAAAGATAGTTAATAACGTTTTTTATTGGCATTCTGTTATTTTCCTTCTACTTATAGTTTTGAATATTCAATTTCGAATATGCGGAACGCTCACAGCGTTGTGTACGACTCGTCTAAAAACAAATGCTTCACGCTTATCTATCCAAACGGTAATGTCAGTAAAATTTCGCGATCGTAAACAACTTTAGTACTTTCTCGAGAATATTTTTCCTCGTGTTTGCTTTAATCTCAGATATCGAACTGACGCGAATCTTCTATATTAAGACGAAGTATCTTTGCTACATGATTCTAAGACGCTTTCCTTTGCGAAATTCAAATGTATCGTTCGTTGATAATTCGCGTGCTGAACTATTTAGTTACTTTTGTTTGTGCCGATGTCAGGAAGAATTTTTATATACAAGTAGTAAAAATATAATTTCATCTCAGTGAGATTATATTAATGATCTAATAACAAAAAATTGGGATATAAATATTTTTAACAATACTTGTTTAACTTGATTTTTCAAAAGCCTTCGATAGCATGGATCATGAATCACGCACTTTCGGTTAATCTATAACACTGATACTGATACACCCAACTCTTGCACATTCACACTCAATTAATTAAGATATTAATAGATAATGTTAGAAGCCTGTCTCAGTATAGTAAAAAACATACATACAAACACAGTCAGAACAAAAAACTACTTCACGCCGGTGTATACCACACGCAAAAATGCCGGCGCCGGTGGACATCTCCTGGTTTAAGTACTTGGACTTGGCAAATTCCAAAGTTATAATAATGTCTAGTTTTATGCAAAATACATTTTACTGTGGGCTTGGCTACTCTTACATTATCCTCGATTTTCCTAGTTGATATCTCCACGACTGCTTGCAAAACATTATTTTGGGTTTCTTCTCAAAATTAGTTTCTTTTTAAATGAACCATATTCTTTTAAATTTCTATTCAGCTCTAAGAAAATGGAGGTCCAATGGCTGCATTCTTTCTGTTCTTTCTGGATTTGTATTAGGATACATTGCTGCTATATTTACAGTATTTTTGTGCTACATAATGCAGCACGTTAGCACGTCAAACTTTTCTTCGTGGCTGTAATGGTCATGTAATGGCATATTCGACGATAATTAGCATGCACATTGGCAAGTTGGCTGTTCGCGGTGCAGAAAATTACGAGTCTGGATTAAAAATTGTGTGTTCGCTAGGAAGCGTTTCTGGAATCAGTGCGTGGACTTTAGGAACGAATTGTAACCTTCAAATTTATTTGCGGTTGTTTTGAGTGACGGAAGTGAAAGGTTGTTTATCCATTGATATTGTTATTGCAGGGTTTTAAAAAGACAATTAAAAGTTTTCCTCCTTTTGAAGAAATAAAAATGGGAAACTAAGGGTTGGTATTTTAAGTCTTTTTGAAATGGATATGTAAGTAATGAGAACACATAATTCTCCCATTCGAGCAAGAGAAAAGCGACAGTCCCCATTACTGGCTGTCTTTTCCTATTGTAAAATTTGTCTCACTTTTCTATAATTCCGCTGCCATTCCAGTTTCGATCGAGTTCACTGATAACCCACAACTCTGTTTTACAATTAGAAACAGCATTGAAACTATGCTCTATTTTTTAATGCGAGAGAACCATAAATCATTATTGAATTTTACATCTTAGTAGTTGTAGTTGTAGGTGTACCAATGATTGTCAAGGGTCCCGAGAGTATCAGGTTGATTGATAAGTAGTTGACCTACCTGTGAAATTACAGTTACTTTCCGCGAGTTGTTGGCAAAGTTCGTTCTTCTTGAATTTGGTGTGTCGTACTACTCGGCACATCATCACTAAAGTTTGCAAATGAACTTGTATTGTAAAAAGTAGATTTTTTAATTATTAATAAATAATAATAAGTAATAAAATGCAAAAATTGCAATGTCAGGCATAATTAAACAAGCTGGACAACTTAAAGGTTATATCGTAAAGTTCAGATAAATTGCAATGATAATTTGGGATATTCATATTTCAGATTTTAAGACTTACACACAGCATTTCTAAATTAGGGTCACATAATTTACATGCAAACAAAGGTAGTTTGGTGAATGAGAGTAATGTGACAGCGGCGTTGCTACAGGTAGTTTAGTAGAGTAATTAATATAATAATAATTACATATGATTTTAATTATAGAGATTATTTATTACACTTTCTTTTGTTCCTGTTCTATTTGGTAACCTAATGGGACCGTGTTTATGCTCGGGCACAAGTCGGTATATTGTTGATTGTCTAATTCCAGTCATATTCGAACACATTTCCACTATTTTCTTTTGTTTTAGTGGTGAAGGGCTTTAAATAAGAGAATAATAGTTTTTTCATTTGTAGAAGGCGCAGTTTTTCTAATCCGTTTTCAGCAATAAATTTAGTAACTAGCCAATTTTAAACACTGAGGCACAGGAGGCTAACTACATATTCGTCTACTTGCCACTCTTCGGTCCTTGACAATCATCATAGGTACATCATAGTGTTACAATGCATTAATGATTTATCTCTCTTGTTTTAAAAAACAGAGCATAGTTTCCGGATCTAACGTGCATGGTAAACAACTAATTCCTGTTGTGTGCGATTTATAGCTGGCTTACTTTAAAAAGAAAAAGCGTATTACTCTATAAATTTCGAAACGGCGAATCGCGTGAGTTAATCTGCCACACATCATCTTCTGTAAAACCCGAGCGTTCGGGCTCTCATAAATAATCATCTCGTGAGCCCGGTTTAGTTACAGAATTAACACGTCCTATTTCCGCATCCGAGAATGCTTGGGTTCGAAATTGTTTTCCCTCCCGTTTGCCCCTTTCTGGTTTTGGTTTACAAAGTTAACGAGTGCGGGGCCCATCTTTTGGTTTCCTGAACTTGACGAATGGCGGTTGTTAGAGTCGGAAATGATAGACATCGCAAAGGGCCCGCATTTTTCGCAATTCAAACGGATGAAGCCGATATTTTATTGTAAAAATTTGCTTTTAATCGCTTCCAGTTTTCAATGTACAATGTGACAATTTTTTTAAATTTGATATCATATTTTAACTCACCGTTATTTAGCATGTTTTCGAATTCTCAAAAATATATATTTGTGTACAGTAAGCGATGGTTTGCAATGTGGGATATTGCTCTTATAATTTTTTGACTTATATGGCTGCTAATAATTTATTTGAAAACTATTTACTATTAATATTATTATATATATTAAACATTTAATAATCTTTACAGTCTCTTAAAGTCCATAGTTTTCCTTTTTTCGATTATTTGAAAGATAATTGAGATGCAAGAAGGAATTCTAAAATGTACCATTTTTGGTTTCGCGTTTGCTAATAACGGAGATTTTTTTTATAACCAAAATTGGACAGACTGTATTTATCTACTATTTGGTTAATATATTAGAATTCAATTTACTTATTTTGAATGTCACAAATGACATGTTAACATTAGAAGATATTTGTAATATTAAGATCAATTGCATTTCACAAATCAAATTGATTTGTAAATTTAGAAAATAAATTATTAAAGGACAAAATACAATTACCAGTTTTTCCTTAAACTGTGGTAGTGCTTGAACAACTTGAATATGTATATCAGAATAGATTAGAAATGAACAATAAGCTTTTAGGGTAAATTGGATCTTGCCTAGGCACAGGCTAAGGTAGTAAATTGCAAGACTTTGCTACCTATGAAACTATAGTAAGCTTCCCACTGAATTTAAATAATGCTGTAAAAGTGTACTCAAAAATAGTTTAGCGAAGAATTTATAATAAATACTTTTTAAAATTTTGTAATGAACTGAAACGATTTGGCTTCTTTTATACTAATCTATATTGTTTTTTATATTTTTTTGCAAATATTTAGTAAAATTTTGCAAATTGTGACAGCCGACATTATCCTATACTTTCGTCGATCGAAATGTTGGAAATTTCATGGTAGAAAGCAATTTCGTGAAATTTTCCAGGTATTGGGAACGGTCTGACGGCAAACTTCTGGAAAGTGGCGATAAATTTCGAATAGACAATTCGTTCTTTAGAAACGGATACAAGTCCAGGATGCAAGTGAACATCACGAGGGTAACCGTGCACGACATGCAGTACTTTTATTACTGCGTAAGTAAAAACGAGCTCCAGATGACGAGAGGCGAGTTTAAATTATACGGTAAGAGAATTTTTATTTCATTTTCGTAGTCTTTCGTGTTCCCGTCATTTGGCGCTAAACAGGGTAGCTCACTTTAATACCTCCATAAAAATTGTTTATATCGAAAAAATTTAAAAAAATCAATTACATCATTTTGGAAGATGGTAAACTACGTTTTTTCTTTCAAATACGACACACTATATTTTATTGCATGATGTAATTCAAAATTTAATTTTACATCGACTGGCTATGCCTTTCCGTATACCCTGTTACCTTGTTATTTCATATTATTTCTATCAAAAGTTTACCAATATTCAAAGTTATTTTTAGTTTTAAACTGATTTTTGACAAAATGTATCGTGCTATTTGTTTTATTTCGATCCCCTCACTTGACATCTTTGGATTTTTACCTATGGAGCGTAGATTTTAATTGATGTAATATTATTTCCAAGACTTTCACCATTTTTGATTAAACGCTTATTGCATTTACACAAACACAACAATAAGTATTAGCAATTTAGCAGTTCATTTATTCAAACCAAGATATCCAAAATTTGAGATTAGGATTTACAAATCTTCAATTTTTAAAATGTGCTGTACTAGATGTTTCTGGTCTGCAACATAAAGTGGGAGTAAAATTTTATGCTTTAACATTTCATTTTGCTTGATGCCAGAAATGTTCTAGGAGCTTAAATATTCATTCATATGGAGAAAGACGTAAAACAGAATGTCCCATATTGTTTTTTAATAGCTTATGAGTTTAATACTACCCAAATTTTTCCTTTCTTGTGACGGGATTCAAAATAAATATCATTTTGTAACAAATACTCTTGAATTTCCGTTTTTGTACTTAATGAATTTGTCCGGAATATTTTTTGAAACCACTTTTCAAAAAGTTTTGCCCTTGTATCTTCATGATAGTCCAAGGTGGAGTCATTAATATTCTTCGTAAACAACAATTGGAAATAAATCGCTCTCCTGATCAAGAATTAATTATCATGATGCGTTTTCTTTTACTTGAACATGATTTTGTCTAACAACTTTCATTGCACTCGACGCATGCTTTGGACCCCGAATTTTGTGTTTCGTACCAAGTTTCATCTAGACAAATTATACATCCGTCTTGCGATCTATACTTTTTATTTTCCTGTAGCTTCCTTTTCAGTTTATTCAAAGTAGGATAAAGGGAATATATTTTCCTTCCCATCATGTCTTTTTCATTATTGTTCAGACGGTGAGATTGAAAATCACTGCGTTTTTTTTTTCATTCAAAATTCATTGATAGAAGTATCCTTTACCGAAGATATTACGTCGTTATTAATTTCAGCGATAGAGAATCCGTCAAAAGTTAAAACGATATACTTTGAGACGTACCATACCACGAATTGAAAATGGTTAAAAGGTACATTGTTTAAAACAATATGAAAGGTGCAGGGAAAAAAAGGTGTGTCACAAAAATTAGTATCTGAGAAAAGCGATTTTTAAAATTTGAAGATTTCCCAGAAGATTTGGTTGAAAATTTATTTAGTTCAAATATTTTTTGTCAATATCTAGTAGTACTTTTTTCTACTCCTGTCTTTAAAATGCCAAATTATACACCGATATGGTGCGGAAAGTGTCATTTTACCACTTTAGTTTCGTTTCCTACGGATCTACTTTGGACATTTCCGGCATATTAGCGCGCGGGTTTGGGAGACGGAGGGATGTTTTCGGAGATATTTCCCACTCCTTGATTTTGACGTTTGTCTATTCTGACGGTCATGTTAGTGAATGTATCGTGTTGTTTTGCAAAAATGTACCCAAAAACTAAAGGTCGTAGAAAAATAATACTATGCATAGTATATTATCATATCAATCATTTTAGTACATTCTCCCGTCATTTTCTCGAAATTGGAATTTTATTCTATACCCTTCATATTAAATCTCAAAATTTTTAAATTAATCAACATATTTACGAAACTATTGGGATTAAGTATATGGAAACCTGGGCGTCCTATTTAGAATAAGGAAGTTGGACGCATCGAGATACTTAAGATATAATAATGCATAATAGCAATTATTGTTCGATAAAATTGATGCGTATGCAAAATTCCTGTAGTCGTACAATAGGACAATAGTCGTACAGGTCACGGTTGTAGTTCGCGTTTAGTCTTTTTTAATTACCTGGAAACGGTCATCCTTTAAGCGAGAGAGAGGGTTGCTCCGTTTCAATATCAATTGGAATGTTTAATTCCTTTCCGTAGTGCTCTGGATGCTTTTCCCTGAAATTTATGCATTAATGTGACTTGATTGGAAATATACACCGGCATTAAGTTAATAGACAATCTGGATTTTAGCGCGAGAGCTCCGGCTCGAGGGCTTTAATCTTTGATTGCCACTCAGCAGGTTGTAAAATACGAATTAAAGTGGTAGTTGATTAATATCCAGTTTTTCGCGCGCGCGATCTCTTCCGGATTAACTGAATTCGATTTACGATGTATTTTTCTCGGATTTGATGTTTGCTTTTCGTAATCTTCTGTTAAAACTTAAAACGTGATTTCCTAATTTGAAGATCCAGAGGTTGGAAGAAAGAGAATGCCAGAATATATTTTTAAATGCTTGATTTTCCAATATTGGGACGACACAGCATTCGTTGTATCGAGTAAAAGTTATCTAACTCTTCTCGATTACGTACTTATGCTTAGCATAAGTGTGTCTCGATTTTTTAAGATTACGAAAGTCGTTTCAAAGACTTTCTGTTTTTTCGAACAATTTTTTGGATGCATACATCAAAAGAATTCTCAAACCCCAACGTAATAACGTTCTTAAAAAAAAATAAATACTTACCTTGGACCAAATAGTGTTTTAAATAAAAAAGCATGATTTAATTCCACCCATCGGTAAGAAAAGTTTATGGAAAACTTTGATACGAAAATCTCAAAACAGAATATCACTTTTAATAGCCAAAGACGAAATTATCTGCGCACATCTGTATTTTTAATCATTTATAATTATTATTAAATTTATTATTCTAATAACCTACCTGTAAAGTAACGCAGCTGTCACATTACATTCATTCACCAAACTTATCTTCCTATTGTATGCAAATTAGTGTGACCGTAATTTAGGAACGATTGATTCGGTGTGAAATGCGTAATTTTCAAGAATCATTGCAATTTATTTAAACATTAAGTTGTCCACCCTGTTTAATGATCCTTATTATTGGATATTTACATTTTATAACTTTCTTGCATTCAGAAACACAGCATAGGTGTAGTTAGCTCTAAGAACGAATTCTTAGAACTCAACTATACCAATTTTTAGAATGTTTCAATACAGGGTGTTTGAAATATCGTTTGTTGAAACATCTTTATAAAATTTGTGATTATTATTTGATTTTAATTTTTTTTCTTGGAAAGATCCCTCAAAAATGCACTAAAACCTTATGTTTCTTATTACATCAACCTGAAGTCATGGCTACCTGGGACTAATTTTTGACAGCATTGCTCCTGTAGAATATTTGTTCAATTTTGATAGTTCTTTTTTGCTGGATAGATGGTACTAAAGAGAAATGAAACGATTTTTTTTCGGGTAACATCGAATCAAAGATTCTACAACGATGTACAGCCTTAAGCGGGTCGCAAACAATATTTGACACCCTGTATTGAAACATAAAAATTGGTATAGTTGGGTTTTAAGTAGTCCTGACTAATAATTCTTTGCCATTTTTTTTTTTAATCTCTATTAATACTTCTCTCTTCCCTCTGTTTTGTTAATTAGTCTCAGTTGGCCATGACTTTAAGTTGAAGCAATAATCAAAACAAGGTTTTAGGGCATTTTTCAGAGACCTATCTAACCAAAAAAAAAATTATCAAAAGCGAACCATAAACAAAGATTGTAGAAAGGTGTCCAGTTCAGTTAAGTGGAACACACTGCATATAAATGAAAAACTAAAAGAAAAATAATTGTAATTATTGAATTTTAGAACACCCTCTATACGTGCCAAAACGGAAGTGAACTGTTTTAGATTGGCCGACATCACTATAAATGTCTTAGCCGTATTCCGTAGGTGTGGCATACATATGAAGATTGTCATGGGTCCCGAAAGTGGCAGGTAGACGGACATGTAGTTGACCTGTGCATTAGTATTTCAAATTCTTGCAAAAGCTATTTTTTATAAGTTTGTTATTGAGAAAGGAATTAGTAAAACTGCACTTTGCAAAAATTGTTGAAATATGTTCGAATATCAAAAGAGTTGGATAGTTACCAATATCTCGACTTATACACGAGGAAAAACGCGACCCCATCAGGTCGCTAAATACAAGAATGATGAGAATGAAAAGACCACCATCAGAAGAATGATAACACACGATTAACTTTAAAAAAATGCTACTTGGGGCAAAATAATGTTTTAAATGAAAAAGGATCATTTCATGGCAACCATGCGTAAGAAGAAATTGTAGAAAACTTTGAAGGTAATAACTTTTCAAAACATAAAACATCCGTAATTATTATTACATTTATTTTTGAATAACCTGCAGTAACGCGGTTGCCACTCTACTTTCATTCATCAAACTCGTCCTTCTTTTGTAAGCAAATTGGTGTGACCCTAATTTAGTAACGATTCGGAGTGCTTGTGTCTAAAAAACTGAAATACGAAATTTTTAAAAACAATCGAAAACAACAAAACAACAAACCGAAAATACATTTTGCACTTTAGAAATGGGGCGCGAGTCATTATATATAATCTGCCTGTACATTCGTAGGATCAAACGGCATATCGAAACATGACAGTAATTTCTCTAAGTAATTGCCACAGGCTACTGTAATACTTTTTTTAAAACTTCTGGATTCCTTCTGCGTCGGTTTTTGCTGAGTCGAACTTGCTAATGTTTCGCCAATCATCTTGTTAGCTTCTTCATAGCTTGACTGAAACTCGCTCGCATTTTACTCTGTACCTTCTTATATATTGTTTGAGGGGGGCGGAGCTAAATGAGGGGCATAAACACCGTCTCGGATCACTGATTTCCATATTGGTGACAGGTAGAGACCTGAGTCGCGGTTAAGGTTGTTAGGTTCTTTATAGATTTCTATAGTTCCTTTAAAAGATTCCAACTTCGTATTATCCCAAAAGAGGAAATCATTTCAAATATTGAGTATATCCTTAAATCTATCCTTTAAGTAGTTATGGGCAGTTTTAAAGGGGATTTTAGTCCGGAAAGTTATGAAAATGCTGGTTTGACTATAATCTTCTCGAAATCAAGAGCGAAAACCAATTGTTTGTCCCAAAAAGAGGGGTTTTAAGTACGTATCTAAATTCTAAATCCAATACTGTAGAGCTTGAACGCATTGCCCTAAAATCTAATCCACACATCGTAATCCTAAAAGCAGATAAAGGAAATTCTACGGTGGCCATGGACACAAATGAATATCAGGAAAAGATTCAAGATTTTCTTATAGACCGATCATATCGTCAAGTTAAAAAAGATCCTACATCATCTATGGAACGCAACCTTAAATCTGTTATTAAGGCCTCTTCTCTATCAGACTCGGTGAAACAAGCTGTTACCCCTCATGACTCTAAAATTCCTCGTCTCTACGAACTGCCAAAGATACTCAAACCAGGATTACCCCTTCTACCTATTGTCAGCACCATTGGTTCTCCAACATATTCTCTAAAAAAATATGTAGCTTCCTTATTAAAACACCTTACAGGGAAAACTGATAGTTTGGTACTTAATTCCTTTCACTTCATTGAAAAATTAAAAAGCATTACATAATATAAAACTAAAATTCTTGCATGTAACCAATTCTTCAACCTACGAAAAATCGAGAGTCTATAGAAATCTATAAATAGCCTGACAATTTTATCCGCGACTCAGGTCTCTACCTGTCACCAATATGGGAATCAGTCATCCGAGACGGTGTTTATGCTCCTCATTTACCTCCGCCTCCCTCAAAAAATATATAAGCAGGTACAGAGTAAAATGGGAGCCAGTTTCAGTCAAGCTCCGAAGAAGCCAACAGGATGATTGGCGAAACGTCAGCAAGTTTGACTCAGCAAAAACTGACGCAGGAGGAATGCAGAAGTTTTGTAAAAAATAAGATGAAAATATTAAGACGTAACCTACGTTTTAATTTTAAAGTTAATATTTAACGTTCTGCATAATTTCGACGTGAAAAATCTGGGCACCGATTTTAGAACACCCTGTATGGGATCAAGTCATATGCACCATCATTGATAACTCTAATAAACTTTTAATTAGGACCTCGGCTAATAAAAACGTATTTAATGTGACTTTAATTTAGGTTCCTTACTTTCGTTGCTAATTTTAATTAAATTTCTTTCAATGAAACCAACTTAATTTTATTTTTTTTCTCCGTTGATGTGACAGATACGAATAAATTACACGGGACTAAAAGTTTCTAAACAAAACAGGAATCTTTTTTTGTGATTTAGAATCTTTCAGCGGCGCACCGCAAAAACATTCGGTGCGTGAAAAGGATTATGACGTAACCTACTTTTTAATAGATAAAAAAGAAAAAATTAAAAAATGTTGAAACTTTATCCTCTGCCTTATTTCGACGTGAAAAATCTGGGTACTGATTTAAAACGTTCTGTAGAGGGGTCAAATTGTATGCACTATCATTCGTAACTCTAATATACTTTTAATAAATATCCTCGGGTAACGAACGTGTGCGAAGATTTAAATCATAAAATATTTAAGGAAATCCTTTAACGTTTGCTTTAAGAACTCGATCCCAACATGCCGCCGCCACGCAGGACTTCGATCAAGGAATCAATCTTCGGCGTCCCCCCGCCTGACAAAGTATCTCTGGACGACTTGTGCGGTCCCCCCGTTCAGTGTCCCGAATGTGACAAGGAAACTGTTAAATGCAACCCGAGCGGAGTGTCTCTCATAGACTTAATTACAAGATGGGAGGTGAGGCCTTACGGAGAGGATAAGAGGTGGAGCGGCAACTTATCCAGAGCTACAGGTAAGGTTTCACTCAGCGTTCTCAATATACCGTACGTTGGCTCAATATACTAGGACGGGTCTTGGATTTTTTTGTATTTGTATCCCAACAATAACGACCGAAATTATTGCTGGTGTTGTCGTATTAACTAGTAAAGTACTAGTTATTTAAAAAAGCATCACGATATATACCCCATTGGAATCCATCTAAACTCTAATGACCCCAGCGTGATAGAAGTGAGACAAGTGGATAAAGGCTAAATTAAGTGTTCATCATTGGTAACTTTGTTACGAGTAGAGAAAACAATTAAATTAGCAATCTATTAGCATTTTTTCCAGTGATTGCGATGGTGAAAACAGAGAGAATTGAATGTAGGGTGTAGGAAAAAAGAGGAACAGCCTGTATATTCTTTACTCTAAGGTTCGTAAATCACCAATACAACAAAAAAGGTCATATGCACTATTACCCTAAAATTGGAAAGAACCGCATTATCAGCCAATTTTCATTTTAGGCTATGAGTGGTGGCGAAATAAAACTCCATTTTCCTTTTACTGTTTTATTAAATTAAATTAAATTATTTTATGATTAACTATTAAAACAACTTTTTAAAAAACTTCTGGATTCCTCCTGCGTCGGTTTTTGCTCAGTCGAAATTGCTGACGTTTCGTCAATCATCCGGTTGGCTTCTTCAGAGCTTGACTGAAATTGTTTCTGAAACCGTTTCAGTCTTTGAATTATTAAAGTTATTTTAAAAAGTTTTCAAAACAGCAGAATTTGAAAATTTTGATTCGTCAGTGCACAAAATATACCGAACATTATTTATGTTTTAAGTCTTCCCTCTGCATCCTCTGACGAAAGCACTTGAGCTGGTCGGAATTTATAAGGGCAAAATTAAAATAGGTTACAGTATTGACTATGTCTCGAACAGAATTGTCACAATATGCTTCAAAATATTCAAGAACACAAATTTCACTGATAATTACATTTTTTAAATTGTTAATGTGGTGGAACGCGCTGTGTTGTTCTCTTGCACGTACAAGCGAATTACTGCATTTTAACATGACGCACTTTTCTTCATGTGTAAAAACCATTTTTGTATAAGCGATACAGAACAATTAATTTAAATAACTGATGACAATTGATATAACAATACTAATAATGAACACATTAAAACTAGTTTTCTATTTGGCGGGGTTGTCACTATTTTGCACAGCCTTCTTGGAATAATTTTTTCTGTGCTTTTATCGAATCTTTAGAAATAATGAAACCGTTTTTTCTAAAAGAAAAAGACGAAAATTTGTTATTATAAATGGAGACGTGGAAATTTTGGTCTTTATTATTGTTTCTTACTCTCATATATAATAATAAGAGGAAAATGGAGTTTTATTTCTTAACCACTCATAGACTAAAAGAGAAATGTGCTGATATTTATTTTCAATTTTAGAGTAATATTGCATGCGACATGTCTTCTGTTGGTGAGTTACAAACGTTAGTCATTGTTTTTTGATTGTTTTCACCTTCGTAATCAGTGGAAACTAGTTTGTTAGTTTAACCGACTTTGTATCTCCACTCAGAACAAAGTTACCAATGATGAGCACTTAATTTTGATAATTATATTTATAGAATGAACTACTATAATATGTAACAAATTCATTTAAAAATCAGGTTTTACATTTCAATAAAAACGTTGGCACACGTCCATCATAATTTTTTCTTGCGTGCATTTTTTGCAGTAAACAAAAAGTATATAGACTGAGCCAAAAAGTCGACACATTCCAAGTTCGTTTTCTTAAATGGAACGCCATTTTTGTAAATTCGTTGTCGAATTCATGTGGCATATCTTATATCTATTACTTTTTATGAGCACAAAAATAAAAAAGAGAAATTTAATTTTGAAATGAGGGTCATGAACATTGTTTCAGGTGACTGATTCCTTTATTTGTGAAAGGTAAAGACCTGAGCCGCTGTTGAGATTGTTTGGTTGCTTATAGATTTCTTAGGAATTGATTACATGCAAGAATTTTTGTTTTGTCCAATAAAATTTGAGGTCCGATTTCATGATTGTGTTTGGCAACTGCCGATGACTTTATTTGATGTTAATATGTGATCAGTGATGTTTTAAATGTAAAGAAGAACAAAGTGGCAAGTGTGAGGTTGCTAACGGACTCATTTTCTATAGCAGGAGTGTATTTTGAGATTTGTTAGATTCTGGATTCAGTGATTCAAGTGATAATTTTACGGGTCTGCAAGCAAGGGATAATTTTTGTAATATTAAGGTATCGGTTCGTGTGCGTAGGATTTCTGCAAACTGAAAGATCCAATGTTGGGTCTGAATTTATATTAATAAGAATATCCAATGCGAGATTATTATCATTTTCTCATTCAATAGTAAAACTGTGCATAGAGTTTAAATGGCTAAGAAGATCTCGTTGGGATTCTTGATCATGATGCTGAATTACAAAAGTATCATCAATGTATCGTTTCCGTAATTTTAATTCTAGATGAAGGTCTCGAGGCCTTTTTTCTCAATATATTCGCTATGACTGGTGATAATGGAATAGCTGGTCCCGACGTTTATTCCAATATTTGACCGCTATAAGAAAAATATGTTCCAGACAAGCATTTTTCAATTATGATGGGAAAGTTTGGTTCCAGATTCTTGAATTTTAATATATCTGAAATAATGTTGAGATTTTCAGGAATAGGAAATTTAATAAAGAGGAATTCTACTTCGAAACTAACCAGAATATCCTATGGATCAAATGTAATGTAATGTTTTTATTTTTTTCGATGAAATGAAAGGAATTAAGTAAAAAATTATAAGTTTTTTAGGAGTTAGTGGTGCTGACAATAAGTCGAAAGGGTAATCCTAGTTTGTGAATTTTAGGCAGTCCGTAGAGACGAGTCATGAGGGGTGAGAGAGTTTATCACGGATTCTGATATAGAAGAAGCCTTAATACCAGATTTAAGATTGCGTTTCATAGATGACATAAGATCTTGTATAAGTTGACGATAGGATCCGGATATCTTGAATTTTTCCTGATATTCACTATGTTCATGACTACAATACGATGTCGGGATTAGATTTTTGAAATTATAGAGAAATGCATTCTGGCTTTGGAATATTAGATTTTCGAGGTGTGGATTTTTTAACGATTTTTGCGGTTCCAATTCTAGTTTTATTAGCTGTTTGAGATGGCATTTTGTTTACGATAGACTCGACATTTGAAATGATTTCCTCATTTCGGATAATGCGTGGAACCTTTTGTAAGAACTGATTTACATGATACAATTACCACACTGTGTTAAATGTGCTAGTACATTAGAGAAACATGACGCAAAATACGAAACAGGCTTAAAGAACATGATAGACTAAGGTAAATAAACTCATCAGCAGTTACCGAACACAATCATGAAATCGGACACCAAATCTTATTCGACCAAACTAAAATTGTTGTATGTATTCAATTCTTCTACCAAAAAACAAAATCAGAGAATTTATGGAAATCTCAAAAAAAACACGTTTTCAATACCAACTCTCAGTGTGTTTTGAAACTTAATCAATTTTTAGAAATCCTAAGGAAACACATTAGCACATCAGCATTGATTGATTCGGTGATTTTTTAGGCAAATCGCGATCATTATATTAAAGTAGAACGAAATATAGATATTGATGCATCCCTTTGACAAAGAAAGTTAAAGAAAAATGGAGTTTCCGCTGTTAAATTTTACACAATAGGAAAGCCGCGTTCTCAAGTTTAAAATCCTTACCGCTAAAATTTCATTCTAAATGCGGTTTTCCATCTCAATCGTTTTCATGTTTTAATGAAATATAATTGTTTTAAATTCTCTTCTTTTGCATTCGACTCGGCAGAAAATATATTGTTTTCAAAAATTGACCTAATAGAACATATTTTTTCATTTAGTTCTATTCAATCTTGTGAAGCGTCTTAACCATATGTCTCCCTCATCAGTTTTCCGAGATGTTATATGTAACAAAAAAAAATTATCTTTTTTTTTTCAAGATTGTGTTCTTTACGCTGTTGGAAAAGCTGTATTTCACAGAGAATCTTCTTATAATTACGGCTGGTGGATGAAAGATCCAAGTACGGAGCAAGACAAGTACTGGATGACGAAGGAAAACAACACCGCGGTGCTTTTCGAATACAACAACAAAACGTCATTCGAAAAAGATATGTCGACCAGGTAAGTTAGATGTTGCAATCAGTAAAATTTTATGTGCATTCATTTAATTCATAAATTAATATTCATTTAATTCATAAAATTTATAAAAAAAGTCTCAAACTTTGGTGGACTTTAAGGGTTTGGTCGAAAAGGTTGTTATCTCCTACTTTCTACACGATTGAAGAGTGTTTCTACTCCTGTCTGTAAAATACCTAATACCACTTGACTACTTCAGTTTCGTTTTCCACGGATTCGAGTCACTTCGGATGTTACCGTATGAGTTTCCCATGCCTTAAATTGTGACGTTTGTCAATTATGACGATCATGTCAGTGATGTATTCGTATTGTTTTGCGAAAATATAGCCAAAAAACTAACCGTCCTAGAAGAAGTATAGTATGCAACACGCTCGGTAATAGTATATTATGCATCAGGTGCGGTAAACGACATTTGACTCACGAGTTTATTTGACACGAGCGGAACGAGTTTTTAATAAACGAGTGACTTAAAAAGTTTACCGAACGTGTTGGATACTATACTTTTTCTCCGGCCGTTAGTTTCTGGGTACATTTTCGCAAAACAACACGAATACATTCACTGACATGACCGTCAGAATTGACAAATGTCAAAATCAAGGAGTGGGAAATATCTCCGAAAACATCCCTCCGTCTCCCAAACCCGCACGCTAATATGCCGGAAATGTCCAAAGTGGATCCGTAGGAAACGAAACTGAAGTGGTAAAATGACACTTTCCGCGCCATATCGGTGTATAATTTGGCATTTTAAAGACAGGAGTAGAAAACATCCGATTGTTCCCAAACCAGTGCGGTAAAATCCCGAAAATGTCGGAAGTGGCTCGGATCCGTGGGAAACGAAACTGTCGTGTTTTAAAGAGAAAGGAAATGTAACAACGATATTGGAAAATGGGCATTTACTACTGTGGAGTCGCAGTAAAAGGAAAAATAATAAGTGCTGGCTGGGATAGAAAGAATTTTACACAATGACATCAAAACCACATTGAATAAATGGGAGCAACATCAGAAATAATTTTGAGTGCAAAACTAAAGAAAGATAGCCAATTGAAAGCGATAATAGAAAACGAGATAGCGAAATTGCTAACAGCTTATATTTTTGGCAGGAGTATTTAATGAGAGAGTTAGCAAAAGAGATCATATATACAAAACGAAAATTGGAAAACACAGAGAACACATAAGGAACAATAACGGATAGAGACTGTTGGATTTTGGCACAATATATCATAGCGAATGATGTAGATTACATATGGAGATAAATTAACGTCAAATACTGTACTGAAAAGTCTTCGAGGCAATAAAAAAGTACAGAGAAAATCAATGAATAACGAAGCAGGTAAAATACTACTAACCGAAATAAATAATGGGTGTTTATTTTCGATGTATAGAACTTTAAGTTGGCATTACAAGATGGCGACCGATTTAACAGCTGTCAAGTGATTTATTCTCAGTTTGGTTTGGCAATTCATCATGTGCGGAATACGTTTCGCTCACTACGTCCATTTTATCCACGCTTACTCTTATTGATAACTCGCATCCCCAGATCGGTCGTGCGGTGCGTACAGAACGTTACAGTTAATGGTGATCTGTATAGAGCTATGATTACTAACTCTTTCATTCCTGAATTGAATAACCATGATGTCCAGGAGATGTGGTTTCAACAAGACGGCGCAACATGTCACACAGCTCGTGCCACAATCGATTTGTTGAAAGACAAATTTGGTGACCGCCTGATTTCACGTGCTGGACCTGTGAATTGGCCTCCAAGATCTTGTGATTTAACACCGCTAGACTTCTGTGGGGCTATTTAAAGTCATTGGTCTATGCGGATAAGTCACCAACGCTTGACCATTTGAAAGACAACATTCACCGTGTTATTGCCGATATACGGCCACAAATGTTGGAAAAAGTCATCGAAAATTGGACGTCCAGATTGGACTACATCCGCGCCAGCCGTGGCGGTCATATGCCAGAAATTATATTTAAAATGTAATGCCACAAGATTATCTTTCGGATAAATAAAATTCATGTCAATCGAATAATCCATCGTTGTTTTATTGCAACTTAAAGTGGTTACTGCCATAAAAGAGCTAAAAAGGGAAAATCGCCAGGTGAGAATAAAATTAGAGCTGAAACGGTTAAGAACATGGGCGAAAAACGACTTTATTATTGTCAAAAATTATCAGTATGGTATGTATAGAAGAAAAGACAGCGGAAGATTGGAAAATGGGCTTGATACTATCACTGCTCCAAAAAGGGAAATAGCAATATCTGCAAAAAGTTGTAGATGAATATCCCTACATGTGCAGCACTCAAACAAACAGCTGAAAGCAAATAGGTAAAAAGTGATTACGATCTAAAATAGAAGCAACTCTGAAAAAAAGTTCGAAGTGGATTCCGGAAATCATTTCTAGAAAATTGGCGAGAACCACACAGGTATACTTAGATAAAGTAAATAAATTAATAATCAAATGTTTAAGAAGTGAATTCATAAAATTGAAACAACTTGGATGTGGGGTCAATTACAGAGATTAGGTACCGGTTGTATATATATATATATATATATATATATATATATATATATATATATATATATATATATATATATATTTAGTTTTTGGTTCTTGGGTTATAGGTCTTTGTATTAAAAGCGATTAAATTTTTTTGTCTATATATTGACGTTTCGGTTTCTATGACCTTCTTCAGAAAGGGATACAGTCTAAAATTATGTTATAGTACAGTTCTTTTTTTTTTTACATATATACAACGGAATTACAAAGAAACTTACCAAAAAGAGACAAACACAAATCTTAAAATTGAAGAGGTAGCATCATATGGAAGTTTATACTTTAAAAGCGTTTGCTTTTGTCATAGTGCCTAGAAATATTATTGTTTTGGTTTTTTTCCAACTATGAGAATAAAAAAGTCATACCCTTGATAAAAGATAAAAGTCCAACAAAAAATGATTTGTATACGGCACTCACACACATAATACACACAAATTTAACGAAACAGTTAAAATATATATAAGAGTTTAAAAATAATAATAATAATAATAATACCGATACGCGAGGTTTGCTCGCGTCGACGTTACTGTAAAAACATCGTACGATGCACGATTGTTTTGGTGCAAGGTTCAGAGGGTATACAGAGTGTTTTTGTTAATTTATAATTTTTTTCTTTTATTTATTTTGAATTATTTATATATATATATATATATATATATATATATATATATATATATATATATATATATATATATATATATATATATATATATATATATATATATATATATATATATATATATATATATATATATATATATATATATATATATATATATATATATATATATATATATATATATATATATATATATATATATATATATATATAATTATTATTACTATTATTCGATTTTCGATGTGTCTTTAGTGAATTGAAAAATAGCTGGTTTAGAATATCACCCGCAGTTTCTGGGCTACAAAGAAAAATGGAAAATTTTTTTAGTACGAAAGTAAAAGTAATTTATTCATATAAATTTATTTTAGCAATGTTTTAACTTTAAAAAACATGATCTTTTAGATTTTCGATAATACGGCTTTATTATCTTCTTATTGTTTGGATGTTTTAAACTTATGGCCGTCGGTGTGAGCACCAACATTCTAAGTGTGATTTAAGGTTTATTTTTATAAGATTTCATTGATAACAATTCTTCTTCTTAAGGTGCCATATCCATTTCACTGGATGTTGGCGACAATTCTGGCAAATTCTTCGCGATCCTTTGCGGCTCTAAAAAGTGTGTGGGCATCAAGACCGGTCCAGTCCCTAATGTTTTTGAGCCATGAATTCTTCTTTCTACCGATGCCTCGCTTTCCTTCTATTTTTCCCTCCATGATGAGCTTAAGGAATTGGTACTTTGTATTTCTGAAGATGTGGCCCAGGTAAGCTGCTTTCCTTCGTTTAACCAGTTGCAACAACTCTCTCTCCATCCCCATGCGCCTCAGGACTTCGTCGTTGGTGGTGTGATCTGTCCATGCGATTTTGAGCATTCTCCTAAATACCCACATCTCGAATGCTTCCACTCGATTCATAGTGCCAGCCTTAAGGGTCCAGACCTCGACGCCATAAAGTAACACCGAGTACACGTAGCACTTTATGAAGCGGTAGCGTAGTCTCAAACTAAGACTCCGGTTGGTCAGTATTGGTTTCATTTTTATAAACGTCGCCCTAGCTTGTTCGATTCTACCACGAATTTCCATATCTGGGTCTAGGTCCTCGGTTATCCAGCTACCAAGATACTTAAATTTAGAGACCCGCTGTATCCGTTTTCCTCCAGTCGAGACGTCCAAACGCACATCTGGTGTTCTGCTTATGACCATGACCTTAGTTTTTTCAACGTTAATCTTTAGGCCCGAGCGTTCTCCCGTCGCAGATATTCTATCGACAAGGCGTTGTAGTGCTTCTTGACTTTCAGCAATAATTACGGTATCATCTGCGTAGCGGAGGTTGTTGACTGGGAGACCATTGATCTTTATGCCATCATCCGTCTCAAAAAGTGCTCGGTCAAATACGGAATCGGAGTATAAGTTAAAAAGAAGAGGAGACAAGACGCATCCTTGCCTTACGCCTCTCTCTATCGGGAAACTTTGCGTGGTTTCATTTCCCACCCTTACAGAGGCTGTCTGGTTCCAGTACAGGTTCTTTATAAAAGAAAGATCGCCCTTATCCACTCTTTTCTCCTGCAGTAGACTCATTAGTTCTGTGTGGTTGACACAGTCAAATGCTTTTTGATAATCTATGAAGCACAGAAAGACGTCTTTTCGTTGATCTCGGCATTTTTGGAGTAAGATGTTCAAGCTGAAGAGTGCTTCTCGTGTGCCGAATCCCTGCCTGAATCCGAATTGGGTGGGCCCGATTTCTTTTTCACATTTGCCATAAATTCTTCTATGGATTATTTTAATGAAAAGCTTTAGGACCTGGCTCAT